GGGCCAGAAATTCCTCTCTGGACCCCTACTTCTCAGCTATGAAGTCTGGGTGTTAGCAGCATTGGTTCAGGGCAGGTAAATACAAGCTGGCAGACACTGTGAGGCTCACACACTCTTGAGAAAAGTACTTCACATTTCCCAGCACCTATAAAATAGAGATGGAAACATCCAAGGCAGGGCTGATCCACTCAAGACTCTCAGCTCCCATGCCCAGCCCCATGCCCAGTGGCTGAGGCCACTGTGAACTGCCAGCTTGGTATCACACAGGGCTCACCTCTCTTTTCTCTCCCCTAATACAGGCCCTACACTCCTGGCAGCAGCTCCTCCTGCAGGTTTGAGAGCAAATCTGTATAGGGACAGAGGGCAGGCTCAGATGAGGGTGGGACAGAGGACTTGTGGACAGTGCCACGTGGAAGATGCCACTAGTCCTGGAGCTGAAGCCCAGACTGCAAGGACACAGTGACCCTGCTTGGACTGCAACCAGACAGCGAATTGTGACACCAAATCACAGAGATATATGGCAGAAGATCCCAGAACAGCAAGGTCACAGAAACCAGAGAGCCCTCCCTGGGTGACTCTGCCTGACAGGCAGCTCTTGATTGGCTCTAGAGGAGCCAGGGGAGGACCAGGTGCTGTCTACTTCCCAAGGACACTGTTTTCAGACCATTTGCTCCCAGACCCACAAGCTCCAGGTGAAAACCTGTGCCTGCACCTAGAATGGTCCTCAAAGAGCAGCTCCACCTCTTATTTTACACAGGGGAAACTGAGTCTCCCATCAACAGTGGCATCTCCTGACTACCTTTTGGTGTGCTTGGCCTCAGAAAAGCAGAGACTGGCTAGGAAAGGGAGCATGGAGACCAGGACCAGGATCAACGCCACCAATGTTCACTCACTGCTGACCCTGGGACCCTCTACCAGTTTGCATAGCATGAGGACACTTGGGACAGGTCACTGGAAGCCCTTCCTCACAGGAATCAACAGTCAGCAGCTGCAAAGAAATGGCCAGCAGAAAACTGACTAGTCTTGTAATACCTCACTCACCTTCTTCCCAGTAGCTCTGTCTAGTCAGGGTTGCCCTTCTGCGCGGTGCACTTCTTTCTAGTCCTCAGAGCTGCTACTCTTATGTGGAGATACTTTGTGGGTCCCTCCCCATGCCTGCACCTGAGCACTCTTTGCAGAGGATGTGAAGAAGGGGCATGCTCTACACCTCACCTTACTCTCACCCGCAAATATCTGGAAAGTCTTAATAAAGTTCTGAACTTAGGAAAGGCTGTGCTCCAGCCACCATTGCATCCAGCGTACACACTGTGACACCAGAAGGCTGGTCCAAGTAAATGCTCTTTCCCAAGAACGGATGCAGAGGGTCCCGAGGATGAGAGGTCTATCACAGGGGATCAGAGGGTGTGTCCTGGAGGGTTCGTCCACAGGGGACCTGTGGAATTCCCATGGGAGGGTGCTAACTACTGTGTACCCCATCCTAGGGGGTGCATCTGCAAAAGACACACGGACTTAGTGAGGCAGAAGTCAGAAACTGCAATCACCTCTGTTTTCACTTTGCCCTGAAATATAAGTCTTTCCCCCCCCCCCCCAAGATTGGGAGTAGGGTTAGGGGGAGGCAGCAACACCATCACCGGTGCCCACCCCCTTTTCCTTGTTCAGGCACTTGTCCTCACGCGCCCCCTGCTGGTTGCATCTTGGACTCTTACCCCATGGGGCTTACGCGGGACACTGGGAATGAGGAGGGCCTCCACATTTAAAGTGGGCAAGCTTCAATGGAATGGCACTGCTACTGTGTCCTGCCAGCTTTCCCCCTCTTCCTCTCCTTCCAACAGTGCTCAGCTGGGTAGAGGCCTGCACCTAGAGCCCCAGTACCCTAGGGCACCCCTGCCAGAACCTGCTAGGCTGAAGTGCTGTCTAGACCCCAGGTATCAAAGTGACCTCTGCCAGTCCTCCGTCACATGAGCAATGCTCAACAGTAGTGGGATGCATACAGTTTCACTCTCATATGCCACACCCTAGTGATGCAGGACAAAACTCTGGCAGACGAGTTACTCACAAGACACCCTGAAACCTTGGATATGGACCTTCTGGGCTCCAGGAGCTCTATGTTTTGAAGAACCCTCTCTACACCCACACTGCGGCAATGAGAGGTGGGGCAGGAGAGACAAACACGGGGTACCTAGAAGACGGGTGGAGTTAAGCTGACTTCCATTCATGGTTTCCTCCAGGCCTAGGCCAGTAAGCCCATTTCTCACTGGGGGCCATGTCAGTATCCTAGAGGATCACAGGTAGGATCACTGGTCCCACTCCTGTCAATTCCCCAAAGTCCTGTCGTAGTGTTCGATAGAACACTCTTCACAGTGATAACTGGGAAGAGATATCATGACCAAGGCAACTCTTATAAGAGAAATCGTTAATCGGGGCTGGCTTACAGTTTCAGAGGTTCCGCCCCTTATCATCATGGTGGGGACACCGCGCAGGCAAGTAGACATGGTTCTGGAGAAGTAGCTGAGAGTTTCTACATCAGAATCGGCAGACAGCAGGAAGAGAGACACTGGGTTTGGCCTGAGCTTCTGAAATTGCAAAGCCCATGCCCAGTGACACACTTCCTAACTCCAACAAGGCCACACCTCCATTCCTCTCAAGTAGTGCCACTCCAGGACTAAGCATTCAAATCTACAAGCCTGTAGGGGGTCATTCTTATTCGAACCATCAGAGGCCTCCTGTCTGTCTACAGGAGTGCAGGCTTAACATGGATGCATTGAAGCAGAGGTGCAGTTGGCTCTGCAGAGGTCTGGGGCACTTCATAGTCCCCAGAAGAGACACAGACTATGACTCACCCAGCTGGGCCCTACCTTCCTTGGTTATGCCTCGCCTCCATCTGCCTAATAGCCAACCGACTCCTCTGGCAGGTTTAATACCAGGGGATCCAGACCATCACTCAGGGAGACCCTACCTGGATCTACATTACCAACTGACTAGGGTCCAGCAGAGAGGTGACCTTGTTGGGTATGATGGTTTGAATATGCTTGGCTCAGGGAATGGCACTATTAAGAGGTGTGGCCTTGAAGTAGGTGTGTCACTATGAGCATGGGCTTTGACACCCTCATCCTAGCTGCCTGGAAGTTAATATTCTGCTAGCAGCCTCCAGATGAAGATGTAGAACTGTCAGCTCCTTCACCATGCCTGCCTGGATGCTGCCATGCTCCAGCCTTGATAATAATGGACTGAACCTCTGAACCTGTAAGCCAGCCCCAATTAAATGTTGTCTTTATAAGAGTTGCCTTGGTCACGGTGTCTGTTCACAGACAGACCCTAAGATGCTGGACTATCTGAGGTAGCAAGCTGGGAGACATTTTAGAGGGCTTTAGATAAATCAATATCTGGTGACATTCTGTCCCAGAAGACCCAAGTCCCAGAGTGCAGCCTGCCTTCACTCTCCAGCCTAAGTAAGAGGGGAGAGAGCCACTGTGATCAGGTCCCACTGGGTCAGTTCCCTGCATGAAGCTGCCATGTTCCTCCTCTTTTATTCCCCCAAGGAAAGCCCAGGCACCACAGTGCTTTCCTAAATGTCCCTAAGCACCTCTGGTTCTATCTCAAGCCCACGATAAACCAGAAACCATGTGTCTCTGCCTGAAGTGGGAGCCCCAAGCACTGTGGCTGCCTCATCTGGCTGGGGAATGGTGGGCTGTCTTAGTCCCAAGCCTTGAGTACAAAGAGTAACCCGCCCTGGCTCTTTCTCCACACCTCGTTCCAGAGTCTGTAGCTTTCCTTAGTTCAAGACTTTGGCTCCCTACCAAGGCAGCCTGAGCCTGTGTGCTCTCAGCAGTACCCCGGCTCTCCCCTGCCCGGGTCGGCCAGTGCTTTTGTTCTGGAGCCTGGGAAGGATGAAGACGGGAGCAAGATGGTTCCACTTACAACATCAAGTATTACCGTTTTCCAGCTCATCCCAGGCCCGTCCCCATGACTCCACCCAACTGGAAGCAGGGGTGAGAGGCCCCACTATGTGACCTTCCCTCTGTGGCACTACCTGCCATTCTCTGCAGGTCCCCAGGAGAAGTCCCCGCTGGAATGCCTGTGTCCCTAGCACCCATCTCTCACCACTACATACCCCTTCAGGCCCTCCCTGTTCTCCCTTTCCTCCCTCCTGTCATTCAAGGGATATTTGCTAAGGGACTCTTGCTGGCTAGGACTGAGCTTTTGAGGACAGGCTCCAGTTGGGGGTCTCCAAACCGTCGTATGGGCCCAGACCAGGAATGGAGGTGGCTAGCACTTCTGGCTGCGGGAGCACGACCTGGGGCTCATGTGGCTCAAATGACTGCAGCTTCGTTGTTTGCCGGTGAGTGGAGCCAGGCACTTAGGTAGGGGTTGGCAGGCCAGCTGGGTGCTCACCAGGGAAGGCCAGGTGCTGCCTGGCCCTGGTGATCCGGTAGGGTGGGTGATAACTGTGTACTTGGGAAGAACACCTGCTAGAAGGAAGAATCTGAGGGAGCGTACCTGAAAAGCCTATAGTCCTCTGAAGATTGGCCAGGGTCCCATAGGCGTCACATTATGGAACAGCCTTCTTCTCCCAGCTGGGTTGTGAGTTTCTTGAGGGCAGGGCTAGACTCCAAATAGCCCTGGAGTCTGCTCCAAAGAGCTGTAGGCAGAGTCGCCGTGGGTGAGAAGGGACAAATGCTTGCTAAGAAGAGCAAGCAGAGGCCTGGGCACCCCCGCTAGAAATCCGCTAGAGACCTGTTGAGTGGAACCATGTTGCTACCTTCTGGCAAAAGGGCCAGAATAAGAGCCGCAAGCTATCACGTGGGATGTGATCAGGTCACGTGGTCTGAAGGCCTGCACGTGAAGCAGCGAGTCGAACACGAGGAGGGGCGGGGCAAGCCCAGCACGAGGTGGGCAGGCGTGGGGGTGGGTGGCGAGCACTTGCATAAGAGTGGGCAGCCAGGTGCTGGTTGGATGCAGAGCTCCTGAGGGTAGGCAGAGTGTGGGCGAGAGACCTAGGGGCTGTCTGTGGCTTCCGGCTTGTTGCTTCCCTCCAACTTCTTGCCAATGGCGTCCGGTGGCCACGAGCGGGACCCTGAGGATTACGGAGTCTCCAGCATTACAGGATGCAGGTAAAGTTTGGGTTGACGGACTCTGAGAGGGTCAGGTTCCAAGGCCTTTGCCCAGGGGTTACTTACATCTTCGCCTTAGCTGGCACAGCCGTGCAGAGATCCCCGTCTTGGCGTGGAGAGGGTGGGGGAGGGGTGATGAGCTGGCCAGGTGGTATTCCTGGGTGACCCAGGCGAGTCTTCACTTCCTCCAGTCATCTACCCTAAATGTCCTAGTTCTCCATGTAGGCTACTGGTGTCTTGTGGGGTTCACAGGTGATCTTGGCTCTTTTCTCTGTAGCAAGACTCCTCAGCCTGAGACTCAAGACAGCTTGCAGACTCCCTCACAAAGCTCAGACCTCTGCACAGCTCCTGTAGCTGCTGCAAATTGGGGCCCCTGTCTTCGGAGAAACGTGGTCAGCGAGAGAGAACGCAGGTGCGGGCAGTCTCAGGGTGGGCAGTATGCCAGTGGGGTGGAGGAGTTTAAGTCTGTGGTTTAATTAGCTTATACCCATGTGGACCAACCAGGATTAAAACTAGATCCCCAAGTAAGCTCAGCTTTGTGGAGAAGGCCGGGTGTTACTACAGTTTGACTTGGATTCACCCTTTCACATACCAGGAGAGCTGCTGCAGGGCTGTGCCATCAACTCAGAATTATGGTGTGTCTCCTGGGTTCCAATGGGACAGGCTGCTGCAAGGCTGAACCTGCTACCCTGGAGGCCTTGGAGGCTGCTCAGTGGTGGGCTCCAGGGGTCCTTTTGCTATCTGGTGAGGATAGGATTTTCTTTCTTTCTTTCTTTCTTTCTTTCTTTCTTTCTTTCTTTCTTTCTTTCTTTGCTTGTCTGGAAGCAGGAGGCGGATCTCCTTGAGCTGTGAGCGCTTGCGGGCTCTACTGCCTCAGTTTGATGGCCGGCGGGAGGACATGGCTTCCATCCTGGAGATGTCTGTGTACTTCCTCCAGCTTGCCCACGGCATGGATCCTAGTTGGGAGCAGCTCTCTGTGAGTTGTAAGCAGGCCGGCCTTGTCAGGCCTCTGCAGCGTGTCTACCATGGGACATCCTCACTTAGGGGCGTTATGCCCCTTGTCTTCTCAGATCTCAGCCTTCAGCCCAAGGAGGCCGCACGTTCTGCACCCTCATGATACATTCAAACCATACCAGTTGGTATTCTTAGGGGGAAAGTGTTGCCTGTATGTGCCTGTGTGGGAGTTTCAGGGTCTCCATCTGTCCAGTGCTGGCCAAGAACACTCACGCACAGACCTTTGAGCCCCATTCTCAGTCCCATGTACACTTGTGGTGCCTGGGTGGATACAGCCTGAGCCACGAGCAGGGGAGTGTGTGTGTCTGAGGAGTGCAGCCCTGTGCAGCCCTGAGTTTCTGGCGGATTTGTGTGTATTTAAACTTCAGGTTCCTCAGCATCCCCGGGAGATGTGGCACATGTGGCAGGGTGATGTTCTGCAGGTTACCCTGGCCAATCAGATTGCAGACAGCAAGCCTGACTCTGGGATAGCAAAAGCATCCGCTGTGGCTCGGTTAGTCTCCCTGGGGCCATCTGTGGGCCCTGGGCTCTGTCTGAAGAGCAGTATTAGCCGTGAAATAGTATGGATCACACCTGTGGAGTCACTGTTCCTGGTCAGATGTCTTTAGATGGTCCCTTGAGAGCCTGCTGTGACAGTACATCACAAAGGGTGATCTTGTCAGCAGACTCGGAGCACTGGGAAGAAGGGGGCTTACTTGGGTCTTCTGTTCTCTGGGGCTCTTAACTCCATGTCTTATACTTTTTCAGGGTCCAGGACCCCCCATGCTGTGGGATTCTGGATACAGACCAGAGCCAAGCTACTGAGAGAGTGTCAGAGCTGCTGGAGAGAACTTCCTCCTGCCCTGGTAAGCGCCAGAGCACATTGTCATTCAGTCAGCCAGGTAACCTATGACCCTGAAGTGACTGTTGCTGTGGTTGAGAGGGCTGCCTCTCCCATGCCCAGAGTCTAGACCAGCTGGCTGTCTTGCCTTTGCTTATGCTGAAATTGGGGTAGCTGTGAGGCCTGTAGCTTTTCAGCTGTACCTCCAGTGCGTGGGGTCTTGTTCCGTAGTGCCAAGCCCTGGTCAGGAGGTACCAGTGAGTCCCCAGGTGGGCTGCTTCTCATGCCTGTTTGCCTTTCTTGGGTATTTGGTCTACCATCATTTATATCTGCCATGTCTACAAGTCTCAGCAGGCTAGCAGGGGTTCTAAGCAGCCACATACGTTGGGATTGTGAGGATAGGCAGCTGGTCTGAGGGAGGAAGGAGCTCAGTCATAGGTGCAGTGCTGAGAGGGACTCCTGATCGGAGTCCATGTGAGTGGCCCAAGGCCGAGGGACTGCCTTTTCCAGGTATCTGCCCAAACCCCGAGTTGGACGCCTGGTTTGGACACCCCCTGCTTGGTCACTCGTGGTCACGTACTTCCGGCTTTCACATGCACACACTGTAAGACAGTACCTGGGTGAAACCATGTGGGCTAACCTATCTTCTCCCTGTTAGAGTCTTCCAGCATGGGTCCTGGGCTCCCACCCTGGCTCCCTCACTCATGGCAGCCAGCCACTCCTGAGGCGAGCGACATTGTTTCTGGTGGGTCACACCAGGTGGGATCCCTGGCCGGGGACACTGAATCTCCAGGCATGCTGGCTGAGGAGGCCAACTTGGTCTTGGCATCTGTGCCTGATGCCAGGTGGGTGCTTCTGAGTATGTGTGTCACTGGCCTGCCTTCAGCCTAGCGCTAGTCTGTGCTTTTCTCCACTTCTGGAAGCTTCTGTTCCTGACTTTTACACCACACTGAGAGGAGGCCCAGGCAGCTGGCCCAAGCCAGACTCACCATGTGGCTTTCTGATATGTTTCTAAAACATTTTTGTCTCCTAATTGTCTTTTGTTTAGGCTGATGCTGAAATAATTTTGTGTTTGGGGACCACACACCAGCTGGGGTGTGGGAGGCAAAGGGAAGATGAGGCTGTGGCTGGAGAAGGCAGCACAGATCTCTGTTTGGCAGAGCCCTGTGGCTATGGCCTGTGCCTTTTGGCTGCGATTTCTACCCTCAGTCCTATTGGAGTGAGGCTCCTTGGAATCTGAAGGGCCTTTGCAGGGTTGGGTTGGGTTTCTGTTGGGTTTCTAGTATCTGGTGCACTTGTGGCCACTAGAGGCTCTTCTCATCTCCAGGTACACTGCAGGGGCAGGGTCCGAAGTGCTGGACGGAGCATCGTTTCTACTGACCACCAATCCTGATTGGTGGTTGGGTAAGTAGGGCTGTGAGCCCAGGCTGCCTTTCCCCACACCTGCCCTGGCTCTGGGGCCTATGTCCACCCAGACAGGACCAGGAGACTGTGCCCAGCCCCAGCTTGCTCTCTGACCCAAGGTCCTCAAATCATCTCTTCTTGTCTGGTGATGATCAGGATAATGGGCAGGGACAGAGGTGAAGTCTGACCATGTGCAGTGACATGAACACATGAGGTGTAGAAATGGCTGTGTGAGTCCCCAGTGTTTTCAGTAATGTTCCTAGTTAGCACCAGGACAAGTCCTGTGTTGTGCATCTCCTCAACCTTTAGAATCCCGTGTTGAGTGAACACTGCTGTGGTTCTGGCATGGAAAGCATCTCCTAAGGCATGAAAGTAGGGGCACCAGAGTTGGCTTCACTCTACCTCACTGGGAGGAGAGAAATGGGTTCACATTTCCTCACAGAGGGCCAACGGGCACCTAGAATGGACATGGTGGTAGCAACACAGGGGGGTCCTACCTTGCTGTGACCAGTCTGCTAGTGTCTAGGATACATGCCTGCCTTACTGATGTTTCCTTTCCTTCCAGGGTCAGTGGAGGGCAGAGGAGCCCCAGCTCTTGCCAGGAGCAGTCCAGTTGATGAGGCAGAGACAAGCTTCATCGGAGACCCTGAGCCTTGCTCCCAGGAGCTCCAGGCTGGCCCCATAGAGCTGTGGGGCTTGGATTTTGGCAGCCCTGGCCTGGCCCTGAAGGATGAAGCAGACAGCATCTTCCCTGACTTTTTCCCCTGATAGCTTAGTCCCACCATAGTTTAGTTTGCTGGGGGGTGCTGTATTTTGGTTTTTGTTTGCAGCTGCAGCCTAATTTGAGGGAGGCTGACAGGGCTGTGAGTGGAGTTATATTAAAGAGGAAAGTGGTTTTTCTGGCAGAAGCAAAATTTCCCTGGCTTTTGAGTAATTAATCCAATTCATTGGGCACATTGCCCCAACTCCATTCAGAGCACAGGCAGCTGCCTGGATCTTTGCGGAGAGGTTCTCAGTTTGGTAGGATCCCTGAATAACCCACTTCTGTTCCTTGTTCCCAGTGCCTGGGGTCAGATGTTTGAGTTGGGTGGGGCCTTTCTCGGGACCCCAGTGTCCTCTCCCTCAGTGTAGCATGTCCTGAGGGGAAGATGTCCCCTGTTACTGCCAGTCAACACTGTACTTGCTGTACATGGGTTCTTGGGGACCCTCTGGGTCTGACCCACACCCCTCCACACTGGGCTGTCATGGGCAGACTGAAGACTGGTATTTGTCTTTCTCCTGTTCTTCTGGGCAGGCTTGTCTTGCTGTCAACATCTAAACACACTCCAGGTCCCTGAGACTCCTTCCCCACTATGAGTCCCTGTTCTGGGAGCCAGAGCAGCCCCGCCAAATTCTTCCAAGAACCTTGAATGTGAGATGAGGGCTCCCACCAGGCTGCCCCCACATCCAGTGGAATGTTCCATTAATTCCCATGAGTCACAGTAGACAGAAGCTCAGGAACAGGTAGCGTGGGAGGAAGCACTTGGGAATTGTGAGCGTTGAGATCATCACGTAACCCCAGGAGTTGAGAGGGCACATGGTGGACCAAGAGGGCTTGAGTGTTGGACACTGTGGTCCAGGTGGGTGCTGAGCAGAGCTGGCCACCACCACCCCCAGGTCCTCGCCACCACCAGCTCTCGTGGTTTATAGGGCTGAAGACCCTGTTCAGAGGAGGGAGTAGCCTTCAGATTCCTGGCTGCCAGTGTGCCAAACCCACAGCATATTCCTTGAGCACAGGACTTGTAGCCTCACTTTGGTTGTCTGATGTTTGAACTTATCTATCAACTCCGACTGTCTGGCTTCACATGTCTTCCTGAAGACTACCGTGTCTGTCTGTATGTGTGGACTTTCATGTTGCTTGTGTGCATACTGTGGATGCTAAGGCAGGCATGTGTTTGTGCACCCATATAGGTGTGTATGCATTTGTGTCTGTATGACATTTGCATGCCCATGAATGTTGTGTCTGTATGCATGCATGCTGTTAGCCACATGTGCACATAGGCTACAGGAGAGTAAGTACTGAAGGTCTTTGGAGGTACAACATCAATACCTACCCTGCTGTGTGACTGTTCCCCTGTCCTGGGACATGTCCTACAATTTACAAGCATGTGACCTTAGTCTTGGCCTGCTGCTCTTTATTAATTTGTCAACCTACAGATAGGTCATGGAAGATTTAGGAGCTGTCTTGGTCTTGCCCTTCCCAGCAGATAGGCTGAACGTGTTCAGCCATCTCTGCAGCTTCTCCTCCCCTGGACCTCTTTAAGTCCTAGGTGCCTCTGCGGTCAGGTGTGGCCTTAGCTGTGGCACTTGAAAGGGAGACTCAGAACCTAATTTGCCTTGTTCACAGTCATGGCTCAGGTCCTATGGGGATGGAAGAAATTCCCACAGTAATGCCAGGAGGCAGGCAGTTGGTCTCTTCTTTCTGTGCCACTGCTAAGAATGAACCTGAGGCCCAGCCTGGCTTGTGAACAGAAGCAGTAACAGGTCACAGACCCTGATCAGGTGATGGGAGACCACAGGGCTTAGGATAGCAGAGGCACCAGGGTCCTGGAACTGAGGTCAACTTTCTCTTGGTAGTACTTCAATGCAGGAAAGTTGGGGGCTTCAGACCCCACCCCACATAGCATCTGCCCAGCTTAGACGTTTGGCTATGGTGTCTGCTCCTGTTAGGCTCTGTGAGTGGGACTGTGACACCTGTGGCCCCAGCCTGTGTGGTTTGTTCCAACACTACTCCATGATCCATTTCCCCCTGAGGAACCCTAGAACCTCTCTCTTGGCTCTTCCAGGCCCCAGAGTGTGGACCTGGCCACACTCCCTGAGAATCAGCCCCTCCCTCTGTATGATGACCTCTCTGCAGGGATAGCTGCTTGGGAAAAAGGGCCCAGGTGCCTGAAAGCTGGGTCTTGGGGTGTTAACGGCCACATTTCATCCCTACCGCTATTATCTCCCAATGCTCTGCAACTATCATATTCCCAAAGCTTGGGGACATGCATGCAGTCTGGTGGCATGAAGGCAGTGCTGCCTTCTCTGTGGGGTCTCCTCAGCGGGGTGGGCAGGGGGCTGCACTGACATTATACTTTGCAGGGGAGCCGGGAATCATCTAAAGGCACCGTTCATGATCACCTTTCAGACCCCGGGTGAGGCACTCTGGAATCTTTCAGACTGCTGGATTCCTTTGGAACCCCCAATGGTCTTGAGCAGCAGTGCCTGTGTATGTGGCTTTAGCCCATTTTGAAAACTTGTCAGTACCCAAAGACTATGACAGAGGCTTGGGGAGGGGACGTCTCTGTCCATGGCCTCAACAGTAGTTTGGATAAAGGCAGTTGGGGGAACTGAGCCATGTGACAGCACTCGAGTATCAGGAGCCCTTCTGTGAGGCCTTTGCAGAAGGCTTCGAGGATGGTTGTGGGAAGGCGATTTAGGGCAGTGCGCCTCATCCCACTCCAAACATCTCCAGCAACTTCACACAGTCCCGGGAAACTATACATCCCTGCTTTCACGAGGCCCATGTTCCCTTTGTGCATACATGCTAAGTTCATATCTGGAGCTCAGAAAGGAGGGATGAGGGAGAACAGGTTTGCCTATGTTCCTGACACAATTGGGAGATCCCCACAGGAACAGACATCTGAATTTTAGAAACTCTGAGTGTGTCCTTTGGCAGAGGAGTGAGGCTGTAGAGGTGTGTGTGTGTGTGTACACGCGAGCACGCACGTGCGCGCACACACATTGTAGGGCATGTACAGACATGTGCATGTCTCATGGTCACACATGAATGTATGCATGTCTGTGCATGTGTGCATTCTGGGCTATGCTTCCATGTCACGTCTTCTCTCGGCTGTTGTATTGAGAGGCAGGCATCTGAAACCACAGATGGAGAAACGAAATTGTCACATCCTGGTTCCTGAGGCCCAGTTGTCCCTGTTTTTGGGCCACCCCCTGGGGTCATCCTCAGTGTCCTTGCCTAGTGTTCCCCATCCTCTGCAGGTCCTCCCACAGCTTTTGGCCAGTCTGATGTGACCCTGGGGTTGCTTAAAGAATGGTCTAGGGACTTGTGGCACTCAGCACTTCTCAGATGACATTCCTGGCTAAAGGATGTCCTCCAGAGGTGAGCAGACAGAGTCTCAGGGAATGACACTCCTGGCTGCAGTGTGCCTTCCAGGGTGGTAGCTCTCTGGATTTTTTCTGGTTTTTACAGATGTGGCAGTCAGATGATGTGGCCAGCCATCAGAAAGTCTGTGAGTGTGCCTCATTTAAAGGTTTGACCTTCATGAGCCGGGCCCTCCACATCCCTGCCTGTTGCCCCTCCTGGCTTTTCCTGATAGGTGGCCCTGGTTTGGCTCTCCATGCTGAGGAAGAGCAACTCTAAGTGTGGACAGTGACATTGTTGCCCTCAGCTGGCCTGGCCTTCATTCAGGACTCGGGTCAGGCCATGGGACACAGTGACTGCAGTGTGGGAGGGAGGAGGGAGGACGTTATCCTGACAGAGGCCATGGGCCCCGAGTGCTCCACAGTCATGTCATCAGCTACTTCCTGCCAATGGCTGCACCTCAAGGCCCCTTCCCGAACCTTGACTAGCACCATGGCACCTACCTAAAAGAGTTTCTATACCTCCAGCTTCCAAGAACAAAGTCTTACAGCTGTTAGAGTCACATAGTCTGTCTAGCTCAGAACTAGCCAGCCAGCACCTTGTAGCTGGAGCAGAAGTGACATTGCCAACCCTGTCCCAAGAGCCCCAGTGTGCATGGCCTTTGGGTTTGCTTCACTTCACCTATCCCCATGTTTTGTGGAAACCACAGAACAGGAGACAGACAGACTCAGCAGTCAGGAACTTTAAGGATGGCAGACTTAATTGTGTACCAGTTAGGGAGTGTGGGTGGCCAGTGAGGGGTATCTGCCCCTGAGGGCCACCCACACCTGAGGCAGGAGGTCAACTGGGGTTCAGTCCACATCCTCATTAGCTCATACTTGATATAGGCGATTGTTCCAGTTGCCCTGCAGTCATCTCTTGAAGCCCTGGTACCCAAACTCCAGCCTGGGCTTTTCCTGATGTGACCTCAGTTCATGCCACCCTGCAGCACTTGATCAGAAGCAGGACTGTCTGTCTTCTAGATCAACAGGCCTGCAGGTGGCTCTTGTCTTATTCTGAATAGCACCATGGGTATTCCTCTCTTCTCCCCATCTCTCCCTCCCTGCCCTCGTGTGTGTGTGTGTGTATGTGTGTGTGTGTGTGTGTGTGTGTGTGATACCACACAGGTGGGGGTCAGAAGAACTCAGAGGAGTTGGATTGGAACTCAAGTTATCAGGCTTGGCCAAAGCCCCTTAACCCACTGAGCCATTGTGTGACCACAATTGTATGTTTACTGCAGTCATCTCAGAATTAGCTTCAGCAACCTTGATGAAGACTAGAATTATCTGAGGGAGTCTCAGGGGATGGCCTCCATCAGATTGCCTCTTAACTCCATCATCAGGATCCTTTGAAGCCTCAAGCTTTCCGTTGTGTCTTTTTTTGTCCTTCCTGTTGCCTACACTTCTGCTGTCTGTGGGGGAACCTCTTCCAAGCTCAGCACCACCAGCTCTCCCTCCATCGTCTAAGGATTTGAAAGCATTAGCATCTATGTCTAGGCTTGATTCATTTTGACTTTGGGAGTGTGGTAGACAAAATGTCTTCCCTTCATTCCTATGCTTTGGGTTTTGAGTTCCCCTGATATTTGTAGAGTTACCCATGAACTGATCTCAGCACCTTTAGGCTCCTAACTCTGCCTCAAAGGTCCAGGCATGTCTCACCAGCACTGTTTGATCACTGTAGCTTTGTAATATGCTTTCTTTGCTTAAAATTTTTTTGTTTGCTTTATTATTGTTTTTAGACAGG